CAAGGAATATGATTCAGAGAGGAAAAGCTATTTGCTTTTATAATTAGCTCAAGGGGTTTGGAAACATTTTGATTAAAAAATAATAATAGAGGCGGGGACAAATGTGAATCTAAGCTCAGATGCTATGAGTGTCTTGGGCCAGGGATAGCTTATCTTTGTGTCTTCTTTGGAAGGGGCTCAGATGGATCTAGATTAAGGATGGATTGCACGGCCGCAGTTCAGAATGAAAGGATCAGATGCTGTAATTATCAACATTAGGAAACAGAAAATGCTAACAGATTCAATGAGAATACATTAAAAGAGTTTGATACAGTTCAGTGTGTGACCCTGGTGCCCCAGGAAGGAATGGAGACCCCACAACAGAAAAGAGGTTAAAAAAAGGTACAATGACTTTCAAGCAGTGTTCTTTAAAAATGATATGAAAGGATTCTCAAGCAAAACATGGCAGGAGTTCAAGGCATTTTAAAATGGGAAAGGGACATCGGAAACTTTATCTGAAAGCAAACTGGATGAAGCAGGTAATTTTTCCACCTGGAAAGCTCTAGAATCCAAAATGGTAGTGGGAGGGAGAAGTGTAAGAATCTTTCTTCAAATGCCTGGAAATAAGGCTTTTGCATCCGTGATGAAATATCTCATTCAGATCACTCTTCGAATAATTTTGGATTGACGGGATATACCATTATGATCAGTTATTTTCTGATCGGGTGGAAATTTGGCCAAAGCCTGTGGGAAGTGGAGTGACCAACTCAGTTTTTCAGAAATGAGTGGGTTGCTAAGATGCTGTTTTAAATCTGGGACAGTCTTCGGTAAACTGGGACCAGTTGGTCACCTTAGTGGGGAGCTAGGAGTTCTAGTCTAGTCTTCATGAATATAATGAGACAATTCACCCCTTCCGCCTCTCTACCCACCAAAAACCAAAATAAAACCACCTTTCGTTCTGTTTTTCTCTCATTTCTTATTCTCTCCCCTCATTTCTTTCGCTTAGTCTTCCCTGATCAGTTTATAGCATTGCATGGCTAATTTGGGTATGCATGAGTCTGTAGACAGACACATGAGCTGGCAGAATATAGCTAAACTGAACAGTTGGCTTTAGTTGCACCTGGGGAAAAGAAGGGGAGAAAATAACTATGCATTGTTGCTGTTTCTTTTGCCCCCCACCTGCCACCCGCTTAACATCCCTTATTGGAGGAGAGGGTGAGAGCCCAGTCAGTACACACAAGTGTACTTTCAGCCCTTGGGTTAAAAGACAGATATTTGATACCCCTCTCTGTTAACAAAATACGTCACTCTCAAGACTCCCAGCCCAGAGTTATTTTTGCAGCATTATGTAATTGGATTGCCTAGTCAGAAGTACTTCCTTAACAAGGCTTTCAGCAACCCCTCCGTGTGGGCCTGGCTGGGCCTGGCCAGTCCTGCCCAGTTACACACACTCACACTTGGGCAGTTATCAGTCAGAGTCAACCCAGCCAAGCACGGCGAAGAGTGATCAGCCCATACCACTGGACTGACCACCCTTCCCCCTTGTTGCAGGTTCGCCCAAAGGAGTGGTCAGTATCTGCAGTGCGCATGGAGGCCAGAGTTGGTGGACGACCATCATGTGGCCAAGCCTCAATATTGGCAAAGCAGGCATCATCTTTGTTTCAAGGGAGCTGTGGAACTGCCCCACCCACAGCCTTCCCTACCTTAGGGCCTGCAAATGGAGCACTCAAGTGACCAGGAGTTCCCAAGGGGCCTGCCTTTGGATATCTATCTCTGCCTGCTCTTATTCCCCGTCTACTGGATTTCCTCATATTTTTTCATGAGCAGTTGGTCATCTGATCATCCCTTCCTGTTAGCCCTGCTGACTCACAGAAGTAAGGAACTTGTCTGAGCTTCAGACACTGTCAGAAAATTTACAAAGAAAAACAAAAAGGACTGGTATGAACTTCCCATGGTATGGCCAGCCGAGGCTGGAAAACCAAGGGGCACACCAGGCAATTGTTACATGGGTTCAAACCCTGTAATCCTAGGATTTTGTTGATATTTCTCTATTGCATTGTCCCTTTTGGCCTTTTTCCCTTTAGTGAATAACATCCCCCATGCCTATCAGTGACTTGTCTCTTAGTCTTGAATCTAGCCGTGAATCCATACAAAACCAGAGCACCCTTCCCGGAATATTTTTCTTTCCTGCCCCTCAGCCCATGTGCCCTACACATCTATCTATTCTCATCCCTTGGGTCCCCTGATTCTCCTGACCTTGATGAGAGGCAACTGGTATAATAGAAATAGCTTTAAAGCTTGACAGGCCCAGGTTCAAATTCAAGCTGAGCCACTTAATAGCTGTGTGACCTTACGTAAGTGACTTAACCTCTCTGAATCTGGTATTCCTCATCTATAAGATGGGACTAATAATAATATCAGTTTCCCAGGGTTGCTGGGAGAACTGAATGCAATTATTTGCAAAGTGCCTGGCAGGGAGCTAAGGCATGGTAGGTGCTCAGCAAATGTGGGCTGTCCTGGGAGGAAGGAAAAGAGCCACCTTCCCTGGCTCCTGAGAGCTAACCTCCATTCTCTTTACCATCTGTCTCCTACTGGAATATCCTTTTTAGTGGTGCTAAATTGAATCTCACCATCATTTGGTGGTGGGTTGAGGGAGGGGCCCTTGGTCTGTGGAATAGAGACTCCCTTGGCTATTCTTTTGGGGGAAGCTTTCCACCTGACAATCTGTCCCCCGCCTGCCTCTTTATAGCCAGTATCTCTCTGCAGACCCCTCCAAGGCTGGGCACTAAATTAAGTCTATTAGCCTTGGTTTTATCTGTGCCAAGCTGCAGGGGCCACCAAGTGCTCTGTGCAAAGGGACAAGGGATGAATGCAGTTTCTCCCAAAGTGTCCACCTGTGTGAACCCTGCATCTTTGTTGCAAAGGTGGATTCATTCCAACTCCATAGCAGGAACTCGTTGGAACCCATAGGGCAGGATCCCAGGGACAAACTGAGGTATCAACCAGCCACAGGCAAAATAATGGGGGAAACCAGGAAGAAGAGGTTCCCTGAAGGTGAGGGACAGGGACAAGCCAGAACCCAGGGGCTCCTTTCGCTGAAGTTCACAAATGCCAAGAGCCATGCTGTGAGCTGTACCTGGAGGGACCAGGCTGGGGTGGAGGAGCGCCCATGGCAGCACACACCACTGTTCCAGTTGGCAGGAAGCCCTTCCCTGAAGACTGCAAGTTTAACCTTTAGCATTCAAGTGTCGAGGCTTAAGTGTCGTTATGAGCAATTCTTCCTGCTGCAGCGTTCCCAGGCTGTGGAAAGAGGGGTCGGCGCAAATCTGCCCGCTTTCCTTTTTCTTCCCAGACAGAATGAGAGGGAGGGAGACGTGCAGCACCAAACACGCAAACACAGGCACCCCTCCAGTCGGCCCTTCGCTAACTCTACACACGCACTCCCGCCTCCTTGGCCGGTCCGGTTTCTGGTCTGCCTTGGAGGTGAGCAGGGCCCCGGGGGTTCTCCACTCCCAGCTCTTGCACCTGGGGCTGAGGGGTACAGAGGCGCCTTCCCTCCCCAGGCCTTGGCTGGAAGGGGTTCCAGGGGACATCGGGGTCCAGCGTCCTCCTACAGTCGGCTTCAGGGTCCCCACCTCGGTGCCCACACCTCGGTGTCCCGCGGGGAAGGGGGGTGTGGGCGCATCTGTGGCCCTAAAGAGACTGGGCAGCCCGGCGAGAACGACGGAAAGAGAAGTGAACCACCAGCAGCCCCGGGTGCGGAGTTAGGGTGACCGGGAGGCAGGCATGGGGCCTGGGCAGCGAGGGCGCTGGGCGTGAGGTACGCCCCCCGCCGCGCCCTCTCCTTCCCAGGCCACTGATGGGGCGGGCCCCCGGTAGTGGTGGCTTTTCTGGGCATCCGCAGGGGCATAATGGGGTGATCGAATTGCTCCGCCCGGGCCTGTTTCCCCGCCCATCCGAGGGGCCGCTGGGCCATGCCCTGCGTGCACCTGTGAGGGGCGCCTGGGTCCCAGTGCGGCGACTCTGCACCGGCCTAAGCGCCTCAGCCGGTGTCTCCGGGGACAGGAGGGCCCGAGGCTTCCTCCGGGAGTCCAGAGCCCGCAGGAAAAAAAAAAAAAAAGGGTCCCGAAATGGAGTTGGGTGTGCCGGGCATTAGGGGAGCGCACGCTGGCTCTGTGAACTGGGATCAGCATCTCAGGCCAACTGTCGAATTCTCAATGATAAGGTTTTGGGAATGAGAGAGTGGGGAGGGAAGGGGCCTGGTCTATACAACATCCAGCCCAGAGGTACGGAAGAGCAGACACGAGAAGGGTGCGTCTCCCGCCCGGGCCAGAGGAAACTGGCGTCGAATGTCCCTGCAGCCCGCTGAGCTCTGGAATTAAACAGGGAGGTGGCTGCGAGGGCGCGCCCCGAGTCCATAGGGGACCAGTGCCCTGCCCGCAGCCTTCACACAGGCTGGGCTCTAGGCCACCCCACGGGGAGCCTGGCTAGCCGGAGCCCCAGCGGGTGCGCTCCAGGCCCAGTGCGCACCGGACTCCTGCCGGCCCATGGGGCCGCGCCCTGCCTTGCACCCACCAGCCTTAACCAAGTACGGGCTCCAAATTTCGTGCCGTCAGCGCACGGGAAGATCGGATTCGCCTTTTTCTCTATTTCTGAGAATAGGAAACCAACGAATCGGAAATTTTTTGCCTTGGAAAAATATCTGTTCGATGTCGTTTGTTGCTTAAATTGTCCTTGGAATTTTTTTTCAACTTTATTTGAAAAACATAAAGTTGATGCGCTCCCCAAACCCTGTTTTTCTTTAAACCGTTCCTTTAGACGTGCAGCCGGTTACCGCAGATGTTTTCTGGGGCGAAGAGAGCGAAATGGAATGGGAGGGAGGACGAGGACTGGGAATCTCTCATTTTAAATCCCATTACTGGCTTTCGGGAGAGGCACACAGACACACACATGCGCGCGCGTGCACACACACATACACACACACAAAATCAGGAAAAGCTAGTTCGTCCCCCACTGATTTCCTTCACTTCAAAGATTTCCCTCGCCCCCTTAAATCAGAAAATTATGGCGCTAGGTATTTCTCAAGAAAAAAAAAAAAAACCTCACGTTTATTCAGAATATATACACGGTTTAGGTTCCTTTTTACATTTCTCAGCAAAAAAATAAAGGGATGGGGGTGGTGGGTAAGAGGCACTCAATTCCCTGGCCATTAAATAAGCCATGCCTGCAAAAAATGCAAGCATGGGGTGGGGTGGGGGGATTGTTCAGCCGCGCATCCCTCCATTAGCGCACGCCTGCGTGTCTGCGTGTCAACAATGCACGTGCCACCGTGGGCACCGTCTCCCGGCGCTGGTCCAGGAGGGCTACGTGCAGATGGGAGCCAGGTCTCAGTTGCCCACTCACAGCCCTGCTCCCAAGCCCGCTGCCCGCCCATCGCAGGGTTTCCTTTTTTCCTGGCTTAGGCTGGCAAGCAAGAAGTCTCGATCATTCCCCCAAGTTATGCCCTGGGAAATCCCTAAAGCGAACACGGCCCGACTGAGGGTCTCTTGCCCTCGAGTTGTTCACTTTGTTGCGTTGTGATGAAGTTGGTCCTCTCTCTCCTTCACCCGCCCCAGGCTTTAGATGTGGTGCAAACTTCTAGTACCTACCAGGTCACCAAAAGGGAAGTCAGGCGCTAGCCGGCGGTGCAGGCGGTGCGGAACCCGGGAGAGCCACCGGCTCCGCGCCTCCTGCCCCAAGGTTGGATTTCAGATTTCCATTGCAAAGGAGCTGAGAAAACTGGGAATCTGACTCAAACCCTGGAACTGACTAATTGCCCTGCATTTTCACAATGCGCCATGTATTCGAAATGAAGGGCAGGCTTTATCATTTGGAACTCTTTCAAGGACCCGGGCGCTCCAAGTTTGGGGCTAATTCTTTAAAGGTTTTACTTCTGAGAAACAGGAAAAAAGAAAGAATGAAACATACCCACAATCCATGTACTGGAGATGACACTCAAGAGTAGGTTGTGGTCTCTTTTGAATCGGGAGTTCAAAAGAAAAAAAAAAGGCTTGTTCCCTCCCCCTTGCCCCAGGGATGAAACCTCTCTAGATTTGAGCGGCCAATTTGGTTTGATTTCCGCGGTTTGGAGGCTCTGGCAGGGTTAGGGGCAGCAGGGCTCAGAAGACAGACCTCAGCTGCCTTCTAGACCAGCTGGTCTGCTCTTGGCCCTGGAAGCAGAAGCTAAAATCGAGGTGATTCACCCTCACCCTGGTAGCTCGAGTGAGAGTCAGGGGAGGGCGTCGCGGAACCTCCCTGGCCGCGCCCCACACGCCCTGTCCATGTACCTCCTGGCTCATCTCCTTATCTTCACACCGCACCCCCCACCTGCCTCCTGTGCCCCAGGGATCTAGTTCCCCTTTCTCTCTGTCATTTCGAGCCAGTTTTCTTTTCCCACCAAAAAACTCCTTTTTCTTGGAGTAACTTTCCGAAAGAGCTGTCGTCCTAAATGCCATCCTTATGGAGCTGGATTTGGGAAGCTCGCTCTCAATTAAAGCGCCTTTTGTGGGCACGGTGTGCATCCCTACAGCCCCCAGAACGTCACCTGGGTGCGGGGACCCTCAACCTCGCTGGGCCGGACACTGAACCGTGACAAAAGGGGACTTCAGACCCTCTGCTCTTTTCTCGTGAAAAAGCCCCAGAAACACATCTGAATTTGGTTTTTGGTTACCTTTCAGGTGTAAAAAAATATTTTGACAAAAGTATTCCCCAGTCCGCCTGAGTTGGGGGAAAGCAAGCTCTTGTGCAAGAATATAGGCACAAAGCAAGAAGCTGCATGTAGTGGGCACCACTGTGTACATCCGCTTATGACTGTGGGGACCATGACAGCAGTCTGAGGGTCTGGCACCAACATTCAAACGGCCTAGTCCTGCCAGGGACACCCCGGTTTTCGTAAACGGGGAGGGGGGCGGTGATTTTTACTCAGACTCATCTACTCACTCCCTGGCGCATTGAGAGCAAACTTTGAGATTTGGTGGTTGAGGCTCAGGGCACATGGCTTAACCTTAGGGCAGCGCCTTGGATGGGCTCAGAAGAACCGCACCCCACATCCCTACCAGAAAAGGGAACTGTTCGATTTGTCTGGGGGTCAGGGGGTGGATCTGGGCTATGGGGGTGTCGGATGGATGGAGCCCACGTGCTGCGCCTGGCTGCCACTCTCTAGTTTCTCCCTCCCTATCTCATCTTCTGCCATTTCCAGAGGCAGGAGAAAGGTGATCTCGGACTTGACCCCTAAATCACAGCTGCCGGTGGCTGCACCTCGCTCCAGGATGAGCGCAGCCCCTTCCCCGGGCTCGGGCAGCTTAACCCTTTCCTCCCCGCGCGCGCAGAGGCCGCCGGTGGCGGCGCCTCTGACCCCGGCACTGCGAGCAGCCCGCCTCCTCCGCGCGGCACCTTGGATCCCGTGCAGAGACCACAAAAGGACGAGGCTGCCCGGCGCTGCGAGCCTGGGGCACGGGCCGGCTGGCCCAGAGCGCTGCCGAGGAGCCCGAAGAAGAGCCGGAGTTAGCGGAACGAGGAGGGATGTTTAGATCATGTTAACTACCCAGACAGATGCACTTCAGCATGTCTGCATTTATGGAATCCATATGTTGTGGGAAATGAAAGGACTGCAACACGTACATACAATAGACTTAGAATAACAATACACATTCAAAAAGGGACTCGCACATTCTTCACCCTCCAACCCCTTCCTTAGATCTAGCTCTGGAGTTGTACGGCGAGGCGTCCTTTCAACCTCTCCTGCCTCCACACGGGTTTTTTTTTTTTTTTTTTTTTTTTTTTTTTTTTTTTTTTTTTTTTTTTGTTTCTGTGTCCACAATCCCCCTGCAGAAGAAAACCCAGGGCCCAGAGCTAGGCTTTTTCCAAGTGAGATCTCCTAAGACCCCTTCATCCTCCTTGCCCCTTAAGATGGCCCATTGCCTCTTTAGCCTTTGGACCAAATAATAGCTGCTCACATTGCAACCCCATATTCTGATCGTTGCAGGGGAGCAGATTCTTACTCAAATTCACCATTCACATCTTCATCATTAAATCAACATTTTTGTGTTATATTTGCAAAGAAGTGGCTTCAAACAGATCTGGAAACACAAACCCCCAGCGAGCGGGCACTCACACAGCTCTGCCCAGTACCTGAATTTATGTACACCTTGTATATCTGTGTGCACAGATATATTCACACACACACACACAAATGCAAAGACATCTGAAGTCATTCAAATGTATATTTATGTACCCCTTTATGCATATATTTTTGTTTTTATATCTATATCCATTCATTTGAATGAGAGCTAGAGAAATGTACACAGCAATGCAATATTTAGCCTACATTCCACTTTCCCTCCTAAATGTCTTAAAAATAGGTTGGTCTAAAATTTTCTGCCCTCTTGCTAGCTAAATGAAAGACTTAGATTCTGAATTTCTTGTTTCCTTCTTTTTTCATTTTGTACGCAAAATAATCCATATAGATGCTGGATTATCGTCTAAGCATTATTCAATCATACGAGCTTGGTACCTCTCCTCCTTATAACGAATTCACTCAGTAAAATTAGCATAAGTATTTACCAGATTAAGCTGACATTTTCCTATATTGTAACATGAAATACATTTATATCCAGAATTTCCTCCAAAAAGCTTATACCAAAGGAAATACTGACTTCCTCCGCACTGTTTTATATAAGAAACAAGCTACAAGTTCACTTCTAGTACTATTTACATTTTAAAAGAAAATAAATACATAGTATTTAAGTGATTTTTCAAGATCTACAAAGAGAAGTTTAATTCTACTACATCTTTAAAAAAATAAACAGCTTTATGAAGATTCGTGAAGACAGATAAAAAGGAAGTGAATATATTCCTGAGGGTCTGAACAATTTTCCTTACCTGATATATTATGGAAAAATTCAGAATTTACCAGTCTTCCTTCAGTCAGCTACATTTTACACTGACCTGCCCTTTGGACTGAAAGGGAAAAAAAAAAGATTAACTGTTGCCATTGAAAAATTTAAAATAATAATCAGAAACCGGACAAACTGAAGGTAAAAATATACAATGGCTACAATAAAGATAAATATTTATTTAATCAAAGTAGAGGTTGTGTTTGGACTGTAGGAATGTTTCATCCTTCCCTTAAAAAAAAAAAAAAAAAAAAAGCAAGCAAGAAAAAAGCTAGAGTCTTTGCAGGCTCCTAGAGAGTTCCCCATTGTCCAGGGCTATCGAGAGCCCAGAATGGCATTAACCTCACAAAAGACACATTGTGCAGGGGACAAAAAAAAGCCCCTTCTTCTACAATAACTTTTAGCTTTTTTATTTTTAGAAAATGACAAAGGTTTTGCAAGCACTGACTGGTGAAACCTGTAGCAAGCCAGGCTGGACTTGGCTTTATTGATCAGCTGTCCTGCATGGAAAAGCAGCCAGGAAAAGTTTGAATGGCAACCTAGATTTGGCTCACAGAGAGGAAACCCCTGATTTTTCTAAATGTATTTTCTTTTTTTCCCCCCGTCTAAATAAAATAGCATTATTTCCCAGAGTGAATTCAGAAGGATTAGATGAGGTAACCCTGCAAAATCCTAAACCGGTTTTTTTCTCTCTAGTCTTGACTAAGAAGCTGCATGCTTTTAAGAGCATTGGAAAATCTCTCAAAATGAAGAATTACTTTCTAATCAAACAGATTTCCTGATTAATTCCCAAATTCCTTCTAAAATAAATAATCTTGGTAGGCTAGGGCAAAATTTTTTTCCAAGAAAAATAAGTTTTAGCGAGATATCTGATGTTACAGGGTTTACTAATAATGCCTTCAAAAACATAAATGTTTTTACATTTGTTTGCAGATCACTTAAAGTGCTGATTGCATTTTATTTTATTCCAGACATTGTAATTTCAATGGTATTAGTTCATATTTAGAACTTACATAAATACAACTTGTCATTTTTAAAAAATCTATTGCAGTAGCAGTGACGCTGAGGCTAGGATTTGAAATGGGGGGAAGAGACAGAGAAAGGGGGGAGGGGGGGAGAGGGGGAGAGAGAGAGAGAGAGAGACTCTTGTTCTTCCTGCATTTGTTTGCTTGCTTTTTGGAGGTACCGTGCACCAGCCTAAGTGATGGCTTTGATGTACTGGGAATCGGTACAGTAGCAAGGGTCCCTGGCTGCTGTCTTTGATTCCAGGGATCTCCTTTGGGCTCTAGTGGGATGTACTGCTCCTAGTCTTTATCTGAAATCCATCCTCTCATTTCAAGCCCTTTGGCTTCGTGACTCTGCTCCAAACTCTTGGAGGTAGCTGTAAGACTTTTTTTTTTTTTTGGCATTAGGGAAGGGGTATGTAATTTCCCCTTTCTACACCCTAGACCTTTCCTCTATATTTAAATATATTGGCTTTCTCTCTTATGAATTTAGTCTGAAATTATTTTTCGCTGCCTTTATTACATCCCTGCTTTTGAAAATGGCAAAATAGCTTCCTGTGTTTTGAAAACATCTGCTTTCCAGGTTTCACACGAGAAAATTGATTTTACTTTTCTCTTAAGTCCAGAAAGGTAGAAAGTTGGACTTGTTTCCAAGTGCAACTTTTCCTTTCCTTGTCTTTCCTAAAGTTATCCCCTTTCAGTTCTGATTCACTTTCTCCCTTTTATTTCTTCTAATCACCACACCTCTCTTCTCCTCTCCTTCTAAAGAACCAGAGATTGATTGCGTCTTATTTCAGAAGACAAAATTAACATATATTATTTGTCTAGTCTATGGTATGTGTTAAAGTTTTCTCCATATTTTCCTCATTCGTCCTCTGATTTGGGGGGGAGCTAATTTTCCTTCAGTTAAAAAATCTCAGATTTGCAATTTAAAGTGGTCTCTATTCTAAGTCTCTGCTCTTTCACTTAAACCTTTACTCTAAGCTGTCCCCCTCCACTAATGCCCCCCTTCTTTGGAGATGCTCTTTTCCTAGTTAATCTAAACATTGCTGCATTTGCTTAAAGAGACAGAGAGAAAGAGAGAGAGAGAGAAAGAGAGAGAGAGAAAGGGGAAAAGAATAAGAAAAGAGAAGGGGGGGGAGAAGAAAGGAAAGAAAAAAAATCTTAAAAAAAATTCTTAGCCAGGTTCCTATTGTTGCTCCTATGCATTCCACTTCTCGGTGTGTGTGCGCGTGTGTGTGTGTGTGTGCGCTCGTGTGTGTGTCGTGTGTGTGTGTTTTTAATACATGCATAAACTTTTGGTGCCTCTCTCCCTCTTCCTAGGCTCTTCTCCCATCCTCTCTTCCTGCTCTCCTTGCCCTGCTCATCACTTTCCCCTGGTTTTTTTTTTTTTTTTTTCCTCCCTTCCTCCCCTCTGCCTCCCTCCACCTCCCCCTTTTCTTTTTTGCTGAATCTTATTGATCCAGAAGGTGGCTAATTAGCCCTTCCCGTCGTGCCTGGGTAATGAAGCACATGCGCACTGAATTAATCACAGCCATTTTTTGCAGGAAACTAATTAGCAGAATAAAGATCCAAAGACTTTTTTTTCTTTTCACTCATCAGCTCCCACTTCCAGCGCGTCCCCTCCGACCGCTGCAGCCGCCACCGCCGCCGCCTCCTCCTCCTCCTCCTCCCGGCCGCAGCCGCCGCCGCCGCCGCCGCCTGCTTTGCATCCCAATTACAGCCTAGAGCCGCTGCCGCCGCCGCCGCCGCTTCTCCTCCGTGGCCCCTGCCCGCTCCGGGGGCTGTAAACTCCCCGCCAACCATGCTGCTCGGCGGCAGCGGCGGCGGCGGCTCCGGCTCCCCGGCTGCGGCCGCCTCCCGCCCCGGGCTCCGCCGAGCGCGCTCCAGCTCCGCCGCCGCCGCCGCCGCCGCCGCCAGCAGCGCGTCCTCCGCCGCCGCCGACCCCCGCCAGCCGCCGCTGCTGCCTTGATGGGCTCCGCGGCCCGAGCGCCTCTTTTCGGGATTAAAAGCGCCGCCAGCTCCCGCCGCCGCCGCCGTCGCCTGCTCCTCCTCCTCCTCCCGCCGCCACCGCCCGGACGCGGGGCTCCTCGGGGCGCCCGGGCTGCTTTGCATGGGGCTCGTCCTGCCCCCTCCCGGCTCCCGCGCCCGGCCGCCGCCGCCCGCGCTCCCCGCGCCCGCGCCCTGCTCGCTCGCTGCGTCCCGCTCGCCTTCCCCCTGCGCCAAACTTTCTCTTTCTCTTCTTCTTCCTCCTCCTCCCGGCCGCCTGCCGCCCGCGCCGCCCGCGCCGCCGCGCGATGCCCGGCGCCTTCCTCCCCGGCCCCGCGCCGCCCGCCGCCGCCCGACGGGGCCGCCGGCGACCCCGGAGTGGAGCGCCGGGCCGAGGCCCGCGCGGCGAGTTTGGCGGCGCCGCCAGGCAGGGCCGGCCGGGGCGCGGGCCGAGGGCGGGAGGGCGGCCGGGGTCCCAGCTCAGAGACAAAGGCGGCGGCCGGCGGTGGGGGGAGTGTGGGGGGGTCCGCGGTGCCGAGCGCCCCCGCCCCCGCCGCTCCCGGCCCCCAACTTTGCCCCACCCCGAGAGGCGCCGTGGCCCCGGGCTGAGCCGCCGCGCGGGGCGCGCACCCGGACCGGAGCAGTCGCGGCGGTCGCAGCCGCTGCTGCTGCCGCGGCCGCCACCGCTGGCCGGGCGGCCGGGCGAGCTCCTTCCTCGCCGGGGCTCGACTTGCCGGGGACGCGGGAGCCCGTTCGGAGCCCCGGGGTCCTGGAGGGGGCGAGGCGGCCGCGCGATCCTCTACCTGCGCGCTCTCCGCCCTGCCCGACTGGCAGCGCCGCGAGCGCCCAGAGGGGACTCTGCCCTGGACACTAGGGGCTCCCGGGGGCTCCGGGCTGCGCCGCTGGCCAGGGCCAGACCTCGCCTGGCCGGCCTTCCTCCGCCAGCTGAGCTCCGAGACATCCGAGGATGCCTTTTTTCTTTTTCTTTTCTTTCTTCTTTTTTTTTGCTCTCGCGAATCTGGGATTGTTTACGTTCGGTTCCCCACTCTCACCCCTCGCCCGGCTCCACTCGATGCAAAAACCGTGTTCCTGAATTTTACATTATGCATTTTAATGTACATCTTTTTGCATATCTATTGGAGAGTAGATCTAAGTGTATTTCATGCAGTGTATATAATTGTGTATGGACTCAGTACTCGGAGGGTTCTTGTATAACTTGAATTAAATTATGTATATATATCACTTTACGAATGAAGCTGTTGCTTAGAATCTGACTTTTGTCCAATGTTGTGCTATTCTTTCGACTGTGGCAAATTCTTTGATTACAAGCGCTTTCAAAAGGCACCCAGTCTTAACTTTTCCCCCTTGTTGCTTTCAAGTAGGGTAAATATGACAATTTTTATTGGTCTCAATTATTGAAACTTGATCTAAGCACTGTATGGACGGAGCATGCTGATTGCCTTTTTCTGGCCTCCAGTTCTAGTGACTTTTAAAAGGCAGTTTGTTAAGTACCTTTGAAGAATATGACAGACGGTGATCGCTTGGCTGTAATGCAAATTACAGAACATAAATTCACTTTGGAATTTAAAAAAGACTCGAGCCCTTTCAGTGGGGACAATTGAGGATTTATTATGTTTTTTAAAAAATTACTTTTTTTCTCCCTACTTTGGGAGAATAGCTAGTTGCAGACCAACTTATTTGGAGGTCCTTCGAAAGAGGCTTGGGCAATGGGCGAGGGGAGAAGATTGATCACAATCTGCATAATCAATAGGGCAGCGTGCTGCAATCGTGTACCTACATTTACTGTAAATTTCTACCCTATCTGCAGCGTGGGTGCTCCAGCGTCTTGCTTGGTTTCTTAGGGAGGATTTAGAGGCAGAACAACCAGAATTTACTGCCCAGCCCTCCGGAACAGTATAGGGAAGTCCACTCCACAGTGGCTCATTCTAAAACTCCCATTTTGCTGAAGTTTTTTTTTTTTTTTTCCAAATCTGTTTACTTGTGGGGGTTTCAGGAACTGAACCCCCAAAGGGTAGACATCCTGTGGGTTCAGGGAAGTGGGGGGTATTCAGGAGACCTAGGGGGTGGGAGTTTGCTTGTTGAATGAGCACTTTGGGGGCCCTCTTCTCATCTTACAATGTTAGGTTTTTGTTTTTTGTTTTTTTTTAATTGGAGCAGGTAAATTAGAGATAGGAAAATAAAAGAATATACTAGAGATTGAAGCAGTGTCAAAATATGAGTTGCTGTGTGTGTATGAGAAGAGAAAGAATACAGACACAGTCTTGAAAGCTTGGTGGTAGGTGAATCCATATTTGGAGATGATTTTGAAATAGTCTAGCAAATGGTGCACGAAGAGGATTTCGTAAAAAGTGTACACGGAGTCAGTTTTGAAAGGATTGCGGTTTGGGAAGATGAGGTGTGGGCAGGAAAACCCACTCTAGGCCAGCAGCCTTCCTCTGTCTGTGTGTCTCCCTTCCCCCTCCTTGGATTTTAGTTTTTAATTACTTAATGCTGAAACGCACAGGGCTTATATAAATATTTGCAAATGCTCTTTCCTATTGATTTCTCTGAATAAACTGCCCTGCTCCGGTCCAGAGAGGAGGCGATTCAGATCTGTGGACTTTTTAAACATATAAAGCCTCTGGAGGAGTGGTGGTCTCTGCGTGTGTGTGTGTGTGTGTGTGTGTGTGTGTGTGTGTAGAGTTGTAGGTATGAGGATTTTGGGGGCCCGCAAGGAGAGTTCAGGCTCTCCAGTGGTGTGACCCAAGGAAACTGGGGTGGAGCTGGCCCCTTGGCCTGGCAGTCCTGACGTGTGTGTGTGTGTGTGTGTGTGTGTTTGTGCGTGTGCGTGCGTGTGTACGCCTGCACCGTGTGCCTTCACTGGGGGAGTCTGGATGCATATGCACGTACTTCCCCCACCCCTGTTAAATATGGAGCAGCTTTCCAGGGCTCTGTGACTGCCTTCTCCTCAGGGTCACATTGAGTTTGAATCTGACCCAAGGTGCAGGAATCCTGCAATGGGGAAATAAAAGAATATACAGAACGGGGTCAGGTCAGCTGCTCAGAGGCCAAAACCCCTACAGCTGCTTTGATTTTATTTTTTGGTGTATATTTTAGGCTCCTCCTGCCATTCTACAAATTGTGCCTCCCCTTTCAGGTGTTTGGTCTGTGGCTTAAAGGCAGCAGAGCCTCTGCCTGCATAGACATAGGCTCCCAGCAACAACAGAAAACCCACAATACCGAATCCAAAACAAAACTTGGGAGGAGGGGGAGAAAAAACCCCTATTGAGTTCAGGCAAATAAGGTTGGGTCTCTAGATCCGGTTACAAAGCAGCTTTGAATATGCAAGACAGTGCACAAGACCAGTTATTCCAGTTACAACAAACTATTTAAAAAGAGAGAGAGAGAGAAAAGAAAAGGCATGTTTAGGTCGTAATTTGTTAGTACAAGGAAAAGAATCCCACATAAAGCTGCCTTTTTTTTTTTTTTCTCCCTTTGCTGGCTTCACACAGAATTCACTCACCCCTTTCCAATTCATCTGCTGTATAGGTTCTTTTATTAAAATCTTTTGGGGTTTAGGAAGATGGCTGCAAGCAACACATTTTCTGTATTTTTTTCCCCTTTATCTTAGAGAGAGAGTTGGCAGGGTTTCTGTGGTTTGCAGTTACACAATATGTTATCATGTTTTTAATCACTAAATCATTGCAGTGGTTATAGATTTACAGTGTTGGGGTATTACAGAGAGGAGCAACGGCGTCTATATATATGCTTTTAAATTACACCAATGTAAACTGAGTGCGGCAGCTGTGAATATGGTCGGCAGACGTCTATCCCCTCCCCACCCCCCCCAAGATCTTTCTCTCTCTGTGATTTTTCTCTCAAATTTCTTGGTTTACTTAAAATAAGCTACCCCTCTCCTCCCCTGTATTGTCTCTTTGCCCCCTCTTCCAAAAAAATTAATTTTCATTTTAGACCTCTAACCCCAGAGAAGCTAGAATTCAAACTCTTGAGCTATAACTTCGGATGAGAGTATAATAACAATAATAATGAAAAGTGTGGATTTCCTAAGAAAAATCTTCCTGGTCTCCACACCGACCTCCTGTATCGGGATGGAGGGTTGATTGCACGTCAGAAAGTAGGGGGGCGGGTGTGGGGGAGGGGAGCCGGGCTGGTGGCGCTGGCCTGCCTGGAACCTCGAATGTCCCGTCCCCTGCGAGCCCACTTTCAGCTTCTGTTTTTCATATTATTATGTAACAGAATCCTTGGCAGCATTAAAAATTCAGTATTACAAGCTGATTGTAATGCTGCCTCATTAGACAACACTGTCTGGCCTTGTATTAAGTGAAACGTGGAGCATGGCTTTTAGATTATAAACACCAATAAATATTAAGGATCAGCAGAGGGGGCAGTAGCAACTGGGTTTTTGGCTCCTTCTGGCTTTATCCCTCCTCTCCCCAGCCCCCCAGATCATCTTCCCTTCAGTCCCTTTCCTCCCCCCTCCCCCCATGGTAACTGTCATGCGTTTTCTTGTGAGGATGCCGATGTGTCGACCCTGGTAACATTTTAGGAAGGCTTTTTATAGAGTTCTCTTGTGTACACAAAAGGTTTGGAAGTTTGTTTTGTTTTGATCTGCAGTAAACAGGTCCTTCACTTTGCTGACGTCATTTCCGTTCATATTTGAGTTGTTGATTGTGCTTCTTCTTTGCAGGGCCCTCTCATCCCTACCCCCACCTTGCCTTTCAGCTCAGAGCCTGTGGCTGCCTGGGGAAGAGGGAGTGTGCTCCTAAGCTGCCAGGTCTGGGTTCAAAGGCTGAGGGTCGCGTGGCTGTGCCTCGTCCTAGGGTTTGCCCGCTGGGGAAGATGCTTCCAGCTTCAAATCTGGTTAAACACTCCGACATCCACTCGCCCTGGTATTTTCATGGCACGCGGTGATTCATCTCAGCTTCCTTTCTTTGTAACACCTCCCCCCACTTTGCCCCTGCCACACCTTGTCTGTGTCTTTAATACATCCTTATTGTCCACTTCTCCATGCCCCCACCCACCGAAAAACCTTGTAATGACGACTCAGAGACTTTGATTCAGTTGCAAATGTGAAGCTGGCATTAGTGGACTTCATGCTGTGAAAAAAAGAAAGTGTTTCAAGGCCTTGCCCCCGCAGCCTCCCCACCACTGCCTTCTATCCCTGTTGGGTTTTTTGTACATGTGTGTTTTCTCCCCGTTTCCTGCCTTTTCGTAGATATAAAGGCCGTTCTGGTGTTACTAAAAATGACTATAATGTCCAGTGTCTCTTATTTCCATGTGATCTACAGTTGGAAACCCCTCCAAAAAGGCAAAAAAAAAGTAGGATGAGGAAAGGAAAGAGGAAAATCTGACTGCATAGGCCCCAAAGGCTTTCCTCTAATAGAATGATGGGTTTTAGGTTAAAAAAAATATTATTGTTTTGTTCTTTTAGGTTTAGAAATAATAGGGAGAGAGGGAAAAGCAGTCATTAGGAAGTTCCCTGAGCTGCTTTCCAACTAAGACGGGTGAAAAATGAACCAGCATTGACACTTGGCTCCATGTGAAAGCCCCTGTCACCTCTCCCCCTTTCCGTGGCCCTGGCCTTTTGTTTCTGGAGAACGGAGCTAAGGTACTTTTTCTCCCAGACCAAAGGCAGCAGGCAAGGAGTCCCCTTGTGTGCGCATCGCCTTTAGATGGCCTTCTCATGGTTATTGTCAATGCAGACTTCCCCAAACAATTGCTCCGGGGAGACAGAAAAGCAAAAACATTTGTCCTATTTTTTTAACCTCTTTGTTTTAGACTTCTTTTTTTCATCCATTCTTTAAATTTCACAGTTTCTATTTGTCTGCAGAGAGACAAACGAAACAGCATGAAGCACGTTTTTACCGTAGGCCTCACTGGCGATTGGAACAGCCTCAATAGAAATCCAAATTCTAAAACACTGGCTGACTTGGAGGATATGTGAATTTTTCAGCTCGGGGGCTCTGAAGTCAGATTAGCACAGATTTTTGAACCCAAATGCCCTAAAGTGAAAAGATAAGAAAATAGGATTCTAGAATTATTTGGGGGAAAGCATGAAAAAGGTCATCTTTTGTCTATCTTCGTGTCTTGTGCCCCATCCTTAGAAACTTAATAGGGGAGAACTGCAAACCTCAATGAATTCTTCATTTAAAAAACCAAAAAACTCCAACCCTGGTTGTTGTACTTTCGATATAGCATTTAATGGATCGTTTTAACTCATGTGTGAAAGTGCTCTTGGTGCATACTATGCAATGGATACTGCGTTGAGAATTTTTTTTTTTTAAATCTACAATTTATATAAACAGGCAGTATCCCCTCACCCATTTCTTTACCTCTTCTGTTTCCCTTTTCCTTTCTTCTCCTTCCAACCTGCTTCCCCTCCAAGAATTCAGTGGTTAGCATCAGACTGACTGTAAAGGGATGTGTCAGACGGTGGGGATGGCCTATGAACAAAATAGGAGTCCCACCTCTTTTTCCTTGGCCCCAAACAAAGCGCCTCTCTCTCTTGTAATGTATGGACCCAGATTGCGATGCTGTCCTTAAGCATCTGTCCGCCTTTTCATTAAAATTCTCAATTTCAAGGTTTAGAAACACAAATGTAAGAATCCCCCTGGGTATAAAAGTCTTGCATGGCACATTCCCTTTGCCCTTTCAGAAATAATATTTTTGTTTAAAAAAGAAGGAGCGAGAAAGAGAGAGCGCTTTACGCAACATGTAAAGCTGTTTTAAGGCAACTTCTTTATTTTGGCTTCTTTCAAACTTGGGGCTTTGTAACTTAAAATTAATTTAGAAAAACTCTCCCGAATCACAGCTTTTAAAAAATAGTTACTCATTTGTGTCTTTCTTGTGGGATATCATTGACAGATTTAGCACCTGAGCTGGGGAGGGTGGGTAAGGAAATTAGATAATGTTCCACCTATGATTTGGGGGTAAAAATTAATCTATGGAATTAGCACTGTAGGGATGGATGGAGGCCTTGAGGCTTCAGCAGAAAAATGTGAATCAAAACATCTGTGTGCAGGCCTTGGCACACCAGCTTCCAATGGTTATGAAGGCAAATGTGAGCTGTTCTGAGGAAGGTCTGCATTCTGTTCCATACCCAGGAAGGCCCGGCCACCCAGCGGGTACCAGGCCCCTAAATATAACTGCCTCAAAATCATGGGGTGAACTCAGGCCATGGAGCGCAATTCAGCTCCAAATGGTTCCTTGTTTATTTCAGGAACGTTTGTTTTTATTTCTTGCCCTCTTCTGGATTTTTCTTTGTTAAAGCCTCCAGGTTATTTAAGCACTTGTTTTAAAAATCAATGTCTACATATAATTTAATAAAAATAGAAGAACCCGGAAGGGTGCACAAATCTGTTTAAACCCAGCTGGACTGTGAAAAGAGAGCCCGGGTTAAGCTGGAAGTCAGAATGCTGATATCCACTGTATCTTAGAGATCATATTTACCTTTGCAAAAGTGGAAGGATACAGCATTAGTAAGTGTGTATGTGTAGAGAGAGAGAGAGAGACAAGCAGGTTTGGCTCGGTAGAATCATTGTAATTTACCAGCCAGCTCAGTGTTAGGGGGCAGGCCTCTGGCTTGGAGAGTGAGTAAGGGGAGGAGTAGGGAAGGGGTTAGAGCTTCCTGATTTATTTTTAAATATTTATCCTTTCGGCTGTTGCCAATTACGCTTTCCAGATGAGACGAGACTGGGTATGGAGAACTGCGAGGGAAGAATTGCCTTTTCTGAGAGTGGGTTTATTTGTCAGCAGTGTTCAGGATGGAGCGATGAGAATGTCAGGCTGTCACTGCTGGGTAGGCCGTGGGTTTAACATCAGGCAGCTGCCCTTCGAAGAGCCGGGGCTTCCAGAGCTGGAGGATAGAATTTGCAAGGAGTATTTCAGAGAAACTCCCGATTTCGTATGTAAGTGCAGAAGTTGCCAGTTCCCTCTGAAGAGGTATTGTTTTTATGAATAAGGAAAATGAGTTTTAGTAGAGGTGACACCCAGCTTGTGTGTAGTCCCTCATTTCCATAATGTACAGAGGCCATAGATCACTGGCCTGTGGATTACCTGTTAAATTTTTGCCTAGAACAAAGGCAGGCTTGACTAGGCCTCATCTTGTGTGTAGCTGGTGCCAGATAAAGAAAAGGAACTGAGGGTCACTCTCAGTTCTACTTGTTAGGCCTCTGAAGTGCAGGAGGCAGGTCTCAGGGTCTGCTTCTTGGGATAGTGGCAGTATTAGGGCAAATCCCCTCCGGGCCTTCTGCCCAGGCACTGCTGCATCCTCCCAGGTTACTTTAATAGCTCGTTCTTTGGGCTTTCTCGCTTTTATTTTATTGGAGGTATTTGTCTGTGGGCCTACCAGGATCATGATGTCATCAGATTACGAGGTTGTCCCCTGTTAATAAAAGTGAAGACAAAGCAGCAAAATTAGATTTTCTGAGAGTATCAACATTTTCTTGTTGTCTTTAATTTATCCAGCAGGGCCTTACCCATCCTAGGTGAGGAATCTTCGTTTTCCTGAAGAGATTGCCAGAGGCATCTCTGCGTTGTGGGCCACGTTGCTTGCGGTCCTGCTAGCATACATCATCTTCATGTCTTATTCATAGTCACTTTTTCAATTAAATCATTAATTGTTTTCTTTAAGGTGTTCTCAACTTATACGGCCAAAATAAATAACAGTGTGTTTTAAAAACACCACCTGTTCTTGGGCCTGAAGTCAGGTGGTCTGGAAGCAGCTCTGCAGTGACCATAGTCTGGTATGCAAACTCATCCTCCACCTTCCCTGCTGGCTCTTCACCACCACCCCCTCACCCCCCCCACCCCTGCCCTGCGCTCTCACGTGTGACTGAATTGGGCTTGTGCCCTCCTTTGTCCCTAATCGGACATGATTCCCTGGAGGCAGTCTTTTCTCCCAGGGTCTTAGCTGAAAAAAAGAAAAAAGGAAATTTTCCCAGAATCTATTCTGGACTAAAATGTAGAGAAGGGCTCTCTGTACCCAACAGGTTAGATACTTACATTAATCGGAACCCAAATTACATTGTGCAGAAAGCCTTCTATACGGGGATGGATGGTTTTCACCAGCTAAGCATCCCTCTTTCTCCCGAGTCAGTGTGTGCCTCATGCTAATACAATTCCATACATACTGCTCTTCTCCTCTTGAGCTGATTATATTTCTGACACTTGCATGGTTCATTATTGTGCCCGAGGAAAAGACTCTCCAGGCTGTAAGGCCAGCCTGGGTGGGTGGTTTTCAGAAAGGGTAAAAGCAGGTGCCTTTCTGTGCTGTGAGAATCGGGAGTAAATTCAGACTGAGGGTGGGATTGTGACAGGGAGGACAGAGAACTTCCGGTGAGATTTCTTTGGGGCTAGCTTGCAGATCAGAATGGAAAAAGGTGAACTTGGGGAGATAGAAAAGTACCCAGCAATCGCACTGACCAACTGGAAAAGGTGAACTTAGGGAGATAGAAAGGCGCCCAGCAATCGCTTTGACCAACTGGGGTGGCCGGTTTAAATCTTACCCTGGCGGTAGAGACTCCCTGGGAAAGGGCACGATCTTTGCTATCTCTGCGGTGATGTGGCTTTATAAGGTGAGGCTAAGGAGCCTGGAGGCTTCCATTGTAGACTGCAGCTCCTTCTCTTCCCACTTCTTCTCTTCCTCTCTTTCTGGTGATCTCTCCTTCTTTTCTCTTTCTCTGGCCTCAAAAACTATCCTTAACTCTGCACGGAGAACAGGGGGATGTTTTTATAAGTTTCTGCAACTGAAAAACAGAAGTGCTCTGTAAAGCAGTTAATAGGATGGGTGTGTGTTTCCAATAAATTCCTGTCCACATTGGCTCCTGTCCCCATACTAGAGTGGCCTGGCCGTGACGTGGACGGGGCCCAGGGAGCGATGGCTCCGGTTCGGAGGCCCCAGGCTCCTTTTAGTGGCCGAGGGCGCGTCCCTTTCTTCTTGCCCGATTCTAGGCCGGCCCCTGACCTTTGATGAGCGAGGGGTCAGCGCCTCCGGGAGGGCCCGGGCTTTGTTCCCGCCGGGGCCGGTTCCCGGGGCGGCGCAGGCCGAGCAGCGAGGGTTCCTGGCCCCAGGCGGGTGCGCGGGTCCCCCGGCCTGCCCCAAGGCCCGCGCCCGGAGCGGAGCGAGCGCAGCCGAGCGCCCGGGCCCCGCGCGTCCCTGTGCGTCCCCAGGTCCCTGCGGGCGGGCGGGCGCGGTCGCCGCCGAGCAACCCGGCCTGCGCCCGGCACGACTGTAGATGTCAGGCTTTGCCCGGGGAGCCGAGCGGCAGCGGGGCTGTGAGTTTCAAATTAACCTTCCGCTTTGTTGCTGTGTAATGTGGATCCCCGAAGGCCCCCCGCCCCGCCCGCCCCCCTTCCCCGGGCGGTGCGTGCTGCAAACTGCGAGTTGGGCTTCATTTACATAAAGCGATTCCGGGCGGGCGGCGGCAGAGGAGGCGGCGGCGGCGGCGGGCAGGCCGGGGACCGGGACATGAGCGCCGCGCCCCGTGGGTGAATCCCCGCCGCGCCCCGGGGACCTCCCTCCGGGGACGGGCCGACCGCCAGCCCCACCGCCAACATGAGCTCCCCTCCCCTGTCTCCGGGCCCCCTGCTCCTAACCAGAGCCACCTCCGAGTCCCGGGGCCAGCGGGAGGTGGGGAGCATGCCTCCTGGGGTGGGTGAGCTCGGGGCTCGGGTGCCACTGGAATTTCCCGTTGTTGTGCATGGCGGCGCGGCCCCCGGACCTGCAAGTGCCGCCTCCCTCCGGAGGTGCGTGGAGGCTTGGTGTGCCAGGTGAGTGCAGCCTCCCTCCGGGTCCGCGCAGCCGGCCTGGAGCCGCGGGCAGGTGCTGCGAGTCTTGGCTGAACTTCCCATTCTCTTGGGGCGTGTGGGGGAAGGGAAGGCTGGATGCACTTGAACTCCCAGACTCCAGTTGCCACCTACCTAGGGTGAGAGCGCCTAAATTCCACTGGGCACACAGTAAAGCTCTTCCTCCTTCCTTCCCTTCCCTCTGTCCTCCCCTCCCTTCTCCTTTCCTGAGTCTGCTTTTGGATTAGTTCCTGCCTTCTGAATGCTTGTGGTACTGGTGTCATTTAGAAGTTTGGGTGCCTCCGCCTAAAAATGCACGCTTTTCAGCCCTGGAGAAGTCACTGGTCAGTTCGAAACAATGTGAAGAATGCACTTGCGGAGTAATTAAAGGGAGAATCAGAGTTTTGGATCTGGAGGGCACCTTTGGAGAGCATCTTGTCCACCCTCTAATTTTAGTTTTTTTGCACTCTTGGAAAAGTCAGAGCATTCATTTCCTTGGGCCAGGGCGGGATGGGGAGCTGATGCAAAGGAGAGAGTCAAGATTTTTATCCTGTTAAAGGAGGAGGAATGCCTATGTTTAGGTCAGTAGCAGAAAAACAGTATCAACAAAAAGCAGCATTGTAGGCTTGGAGGGAAACGAACCTTCTGGAAAATAGTCTTTTCTGCCTTGGACACACCTGTGTTATGATAGGAAAAGGCCTGGAGGGCAAAGCCTGCAGCTCAATGCATGGTGTGTACTAAGAGGGAATTGTGTGCCACAGTGGCACCTCATGTGTTCAACTGGCTTAAGTGAAAGCCGTGAGCAGGTGAATCCAGGAGGGTCGTCCCTCCCCCCGCCCTCTATTTGTATCATTTAACAGGCCTTGAAGACTCCCAAAAAGCCACTGACAGATAACCCCAGAGAGGACAGATGGCCCTGCCTGAGCACAAAGGGAAGGCCTCTCCTTCAGACTGGGGCCTTCTTGTCGGAATGTACCAGGGCAAAGCCTTGAAGGTATATTGTGAGAAAGTTACACGTCATCTTATTTCTCTCTATGCTTTGAGATCCTTGGAGACAAGTCACTAAATAAATAGAGTATAATTTAAAGCTCACCCTAGCTGGGGAAACTCTGTTTCATTGCCATCAAGCAGCAGGTGCGAGTTTGCAGAGTTGGCCCCTTGAGTCCCCTCATTCCTAAATTCAGGAGGTGTCAAATCTTCATGTTCAGTTAACGGCTGTGGTTTCTGGATAGGTTTCAAGGGAAACCCTGAAAATCACGAGTTCCAGGAGGCTGGGCTGGAGGAGAACGTGTGAGTGCTGTGGTGAGGACTGCCTTGGGTAGGAAAACATACACCTTTCAAGGTAACCTGATCGAGACAGGCCATAGCAAGGAACGTGAGTCTGCTCCTTGTTATCAGAACAGCCACTGGCACCCTGAGATTTGGAATCCCTCTTGCTACTCAAACATTAAAAACAATTAAGGCAAAAGTGAGGTGTGAGGGAAGTCAGGAGACCACGGTTCCAAATAATTGAAGGGTTTCAAGAATGGGGTCTTTGGAGAGAGGTACATACCTGGATGTTTGCACACCTGTATTTGCGTTCATTGCAGGCACCCTTTCAGAGAGTGTGTAGCTATGATGGCCCAAAGAAGCTTTTTCTGTCTCCCTTTCCTAAATTACAGGACTGAGGAGTTGTCTGCATGGCGTTTCCAGCATAGTTTTCAGAAAGCATGTAAAGTGCCTCTCAGAGTGGGCTGGAGTCACACTTGGCTCTTTTATTTAATTACACAAGTGTTATTTAAGAACATGGAGCAGATGCAGAAGCGAGCACTTTTACACTTTAAAAACAGCCCTTTCAGAATCACAAGGAATTAAGTGACTTGGAGACCTTCTGTCTTTTTGACGTGGGTCACTTCCCTTTCTCAACCCCCCTTCTCACTTTTTTTTTTTTTTTTGAGTGGCTGTACTTTCTATGAACTAGAGCTAGTGTTTTCCTTTTCTCCAGAAAACAGTATTGATGAACAGGGAACTATTGAGAAACACTTGCTAACTATTCCAGAGTAATAATAATAATAATATAAATCCATGCTACTTCCCCAACCACCTGAAACTTAATTTTGGTTCCTTTCCTTCCTTTTTTCGATAGCACAAATGAATGTTAAGGGCTGGTTGGAAAGGCCCAAGTAAAACGGTGCTCTCCACAGGCCCCTGCCTGGCTCTGCCCAACAGGACAGTGAAGTGCCTGCTTTCTTGCTGCTTTGAGGTTGAATTTAACTGCTGTGTCAACTCAGTGCCATTTGGACAGCCCAGTGGCAAGGAGCTAAAATAAGCAAGATTTCAGTTTTCATCATTATGACTTTAAATGATGCTTGCTAGACACTCCCAGGACCGGCCTGGCTCATCTTTGGTGACCCAAAAGTGGTTAGTTCATTAGAATAAATCTGTGATTACAGACTGCTGGAAAAGTATTATCTGGGGCTAGCGGTGATGTGGCTTAGTTCTGGCATCCAGGAAACATGTCCTTATTGTCACTGTGTGCGGTTGTTCCTTTTTGGTGTATCTTTTGGGGTAGCAGCTTTTTTTCTTCCGCCTACAAAGTATCAGAATATGGAAATACTTGAGGGCTCAGAGCAGACCCTTACCTATGAAATTATTTTTATTGCAGAGTTGTAACAGTGTCATCTGAAAAAGTAAATATTTAAGTGACTAAGCAACATTTTGTAAAAGTGTACGGAACTGGCTTGAATTATTTAAAGGGGAAGAAAGTGAGCTGTCTTTATAAAACTTACCTTTTGACCGGGCATGGTGGCTCATGCCTTGTAAACCCAGCATTTTGGGAGGCCGAGGCTGGCCAATCACTTGAGGTTTGGAGCTGGAGACCAACCTGACCAACATGGAAAAACCCTGTCTCCACTAAAAATACAAAATTTAGCTGAGCGTGGTGGCGCATGCCTGTAACCCCAGCTACTCAGGAGGCTGAGGCAGGAGAATCGCTTGAACCTGGGAGGCGGAGGTTGCAGTGAGCCAAGATTGCACAGTTGCATTCTAGCCTGGGCAACAAGAGTGAAACTCTGTCTCAAAACAAACAAACAAACACTCACCTTTTAAGAGTAACTCACTTGTTTCTCAGCTCGATGGATTTAGCCTTGACTTGCAAGTAGGCAGCAATGATTCTGGCCTGAAAAACTTATGTAAACTCCATCTCACACTCACTTGTACAGCACACTGAAGATGCCTGTCAGTAACCTGAAGAAGTACAGTGTGTGCTGTGGTTTATACTTTCATTTGTTACTGAAATGATGGCTTGCTGTTCGCCTGGCCTATTTCTGTGATGTTTGGGCCTGTTGGCTTGCTCTGGTTCCCAAGGCTGGTGCAATTAACCAGGATGGGGGCGTTACTGTAAAAACACAACAGGGAGGCAGATTCCATTACAGTTAACTTCATAGGGGCATCCAAATGTGCTGGTACGAGAATTTGGTGGTAATGGTTATTATTAGAAATCACAGCACAGCTCAGAACCCCCGTCCTCTGCCTGAGTTAAAAAACGGTGGTCAGGGGAAATGGGAACCCAGTTTTAATAGAATCCAGGCAAGGGAATTCCTTGGCAGGAGCTAGTTTAAATCATAAAGGGTGCCTGTTCTGTCCAGAGCACAGTGTCCTGTGTCCTTAAGCCACTCAGATTGAGAAAGGAGCACACAGAAGCTACAGTTGTGTCAAACCGCCCCGAGGGAGAGACCCGGGCAGAAGTCTTGGCTCATTGGCAAGCTACTTTCAAAATCCAGATTAAAGAGAAGCACTACAAAATCAACAACTGTCCGATGGCTTTTGTCTATGATTTAAAGTTGACTGCCAGACTGATCTCTTTGAACATGTGCAAAGTGGCAATCAGATGTTGGAGGGCTTCTTTGGGCTAATATGGTAAATGACTCTTACACGGACAGAAACTGAGGACAGAGGTGCAGAGCAAGGCTCACTGCCGATTGACAGCAGCACTGAGCTGAAGCTTCAGAAGTAGGGAAACAAGTGGAATGTTTCTGGTTTTCATTCTTTGGGCCAGGGGACAGGTGGGTGAGGACAAGGCCGTGGTCTCGGCAGTGACGGGGGTGTCTCTGGAGAGTTATTTGCCCAAGGAAAGTACTTTGGCCTTTAACATTTAAAGGCGATTTTTTTTTTCTTTAATGTTTCTGCCTTTCTTTCAACCTTCATTCATGGAGTTTCTTGCTTTTATAAGAGTAACGGCTCAAATACAAACAGGGAGGGAGACATAGAAAATTTGTGAGGTGGCAAATTCAGCCTCATTTTGGAGCAAGACTTCTGGCCTCTTAGCAAAATGTCTGGGCTGCATCTGCCTTTTGGGTGACCCCACCTCTGCCTGTCCACCAGAGGGTCACCACAGCAGTCTCATCAACATGAGTGTTACTGCGTGGGGGGTTTGACGTGTACCTTCCCAGAGGGGCCTTTGCTGGCTTGCTGTGTCCTGGAGGTCTTAGGTGGTTCCACTGTGCATTCTTTGAGCTTTGGTATTAACATATGTGTGGCCTCTAAGATGTGTCCATCCTTTTCCCTCCCTGGAGTCAGGTCTGAAGCTTCCAGTGAGGCGGGCAGAACATCTGCTGCCCTCCCACCCCTACTCCTGGCTGCTGGTGGTTTGGGATGAAGTCACTGAAACTCCCTTGCAAGGCCAACCCTTGAGAAGATGGGCTGGTGCTGGGATGCCTCTCACTTTCTATTCTGCTTGATTTCTGGGAGGAAGCTGATCACATAAGGGCCTTAAAGGCTTTCTTAAATGGTGACCTGGAGTTTCATTGTTAAGTGGCTCTTTTGGGACCGCAGTTAGGAATGTATGGATCACTTTCCGTCATCTGCAGGGAGACTTGGATTGGAAGTGGGAGAACTGGCTCCACTGGACTCTGAAAAAGGCAGTGGAGTTTTCATCTGCCGCTGATTTCATCCACTGTCCCGAAAGTTATCTTGGCCACAAACCTTTGATCTGGGAGTGAGACCCCTGGCCCCATGCTTCTAGGGCAGGAGTCAGTGACTGCCTGTACCCCCTGTTCTGTGCATATGGGAGAGAGTGTTAGTTAATGAGTGGGACTGAGTACTTGGGGTGATTTGGGGTGGTGAGGCGTGACTGGGGCTTACACACTGGAGGGGTCATGTGTAGGCTTCTTGATGGGGGTTCTTTCAAGAAGGAGGAGGCAAAAGAACAGTTTTGCTTGTTTGTTGGTTGTTCCTGACTCCATCCAGGAGTGTGACTGGAGAAGACGTCTTCTGAGTGTATCGGTTAGGCTGGGTTTTGGATAAATGGTTCCTGGTGCCCATCGCTATCATAGGCTCTGCATTTCTGTAGGAAAATTCCAGTTCAGAGGCAGTTGCTCTCTGTCTTCTCATTTGAATCTCCTTAGTGGAGAGGCAGGAGGCAGATTAGTTGAGTGCAGAAAGACCAAGGGGCTTAATCTGATAGTTGACCTCAGCCCTGCATCCCCCAAAAAAGTCATATAAGTGCCTGTTCAAATATCGACATCTGTCTCCCTTCAGTATCCAAACAGCGCTTTTCAGAAGCGTTTAAACTCCTGAAAGTCTATAAAAAGCACATATGTGTAGCCGTGAACTGAGCTGCTCCCCATGCTTCCAGTCTCTGAGTGGCCTATGTCCGATGACTTCTCTCTTCCCAACATCTCTGTCCCATGCAAGCTGCTGAGGAACACATGGGTGCCTTTCTTCTCCATCTCCCAACTTTTCTTTTTTCTTTTTTTAAACAATTGTTCTTAACTACTCAAGAAGCAATGCAAGCCTCTTCCACCATTTCAGGCCCTGCTTCCTAAAATGCTCTTTGGCTCAAGGCCTTGGTTCTTAATGTACATTTGGCCTTGACTGGGGGAGTGGTTTCTACTTCCCTTTTAACAGCGCTGCTGTTTTTCTGTGGAGTATCTGCATCAATGTTAAAGTGTCAGGACACTTTTGGACACTTTGGAAGAGGCCCATGGATTTCAGTGTGTGTGGCAGGAGGTTGGTGTCACTACTCAAGCGACTGCTTTTAAATGCCATCTCCGTCCTAACAGAATCTTGAATAGTGTTGAGATGGGCATTGATGAAGACTTTCAATCTGTGTACCTGGCTACATGAATGCGTGTTACCTGGACCCCTGTTGGTTCGATTTTCATAAGATAGTATTTTGCCCACTTTAAAAATGTCGTTCAAGTACAGAATGGCAGAAATGACAGTAATAGGGTCCCCTCAGCCCTGCACACCCTTTTTTAATGGAGGAAGTCGAAGCTGGTTTTTCCAACAGATAGGAAATCCAGAAGTATATTTGGGGAAAGCAGAGAACTTTTACACCTTTTGGAAAGGGACTGTCAATGTGTTTTGCCCTTCCTGGTGAAACTATAAAAATTATCCAGACAGTGGAAAAATTGGGTGACAGAGGAAACCCTGGTGCAGACTCCCAGATGTCTAACTGGAGGGAGGTGTGGTCTTCCTCATTGGTTGAAGGTAGGAAATAATTACAAAATAAAACAGGGCAGGGTCTGGCTGAGGACCAGAGTGCTGCTTGTAAATCCCCTTCAAGTGGGAACTCACAGTGAATGGGAGAAGCAAAGGTGAATCAAAAAAAGCCCACTCTTTGGAAAGGCGGCCTCTGCTCTTTCCTCTGCTATGGGCCTTACACCCTCTGCTGAGGCCATTGGTGGGAGACCCGAGCTATCTGACTTTGGATCAGTAATTTAACCTCTCTGGGCCTCACTTCTTTCATCTGTAAAATGGGCATAATGCATACCTTACATTCATAGTGGGAAGTAAATGAAATAGGAATCAGGGCTTCACGGCACTTCGCATACTAAAAAGCCTCTCCAGATATTAGCTGCCATCTCCACGCCCTTTTCATTTCTTTCTTTGCCACTGATGGCCTCTGCTACCTTTCGTTTCTTACCACCTTGCAAGAAATAAACTAAAAGGTCCAGCAATTCTTCTGTTCTTCCCCATGGGGTGGAAATAGAGCCAACGCCTTTTGACATCTTTGCAACCGTATTCGGAAGTGAAAGAGTCGGAAATAGATAGTGTCCCCCATCCGCCCCAGCCCTCCCCATTGGTCCCCCTCCCCAGGCTGGCAGGCGGCCCTCCAAGTGAGCAGCCTACTCAATGACCCACCTATAGAGGCCTTCCCGGGCTGGCTTGTATATGCTAATAGGCCTGACTTGTCCTGGCTTGTTTGTAGTGATTTGTGGAGGCATTTATATGCAAATACTATCAACTTGCAGAGTTAATTATCATGTGCCTCCCCTCTACCCCCTCCTGCTCGGCCTCCCAGCCTGGCTGGGCTGTTCTCATTCAGCACCACGCTCTTCCTGTCTTGGCCTCGCCTGCCGGTTGCCCTGGCCTCTTCCTGTACCTGCAGGCCCCATCACAGCTCCTGTGCTGCTCCGTTGCCTGTCACAGGAACCCAGGCCTAGCCTGTGTGGTCAGGCATGGTGAACTGGGCATGCCAGTGACTCCCCGGGTTCAGACTCTGTTAGAAGCATACCGTTGCTTGAAGGGGAGCCTGCCTTATGTTGCTTTGAGTTTTAAGCCCCATTTTAACCTACTAGCTTGAAAAATAGAGCTGCCCAGACATATCAACCCTTGACACTCAACCCAGTCTGGCGACAAAGCGATTATAGTTTTTAAATTATTAGTAGTATTTTCATTTCCTCACATTGTTTATACCCCTCACACTTATGACCAGTTCTGAGCTCTGGAGAGAAGCCATTTTGCAGAGGGGTGTCCTCTCCTGCCCCCGGACTTCTGAGTATTAAAAGTGGGCTTGGGTTGTGCACGGTGGCTCACGCCTGTAATCCCAGCACTTTGGGAGGCCGAGGCAGGATTGCCTG